CTTCTCACGCAGCTACAGCTCACACTATACAACCAAACCGCAGGGTTTAAAAGGTCACAGCTCATCATGTTTGTTCTCACACTGTGCTCCCCGACGCTCTGATGCGATCTACCTGCTCACACTGTACGTCTAAAAACCAGGTGAGACTCAGCTCCTTAATGAGATGGCGCTACTCGGACTCGTCTATCCAGAAGCCAGAACCCTGAACAGAGTCGGTCTAAGTCCCCATCAGACTGTGAGCCGTCCCGCCTCACATTTTCCTTTTCAGTCGGTCCCAGTATTACCCTGTATATAGCTAGTTCTTACTCATAGAAAACATATTTATTGTGCAGGAATAAGCTCTTAGCTCTGTTACACTGGTAGCCAAGTAATCAACATTTCGTTGTCAAGATTCACCCTGTGTTTTTTGTGCAATGACAATAAAGGAAGTCTACATCTACGTATCAGACCCAGAAACCCAAACTACCTAAAGACTGTGAGGCAGAGCGATAGACATGGTGGCTTCCTGCACTAAAACAAATAATGTAACCGTCTCTGGCATTTACTTAATCAATGTTCGTGTTAGCAGGGTAGGGACATACAACAATTAGTGTTAAAATAACTAAATATGTTTAAATAAATGCCAAAAGCGGTTGCATTATTTTTTCCAGAGTGAACTGGAGGTCTGTGAATGACAGCACCTTTATTACTGGATCTAAGTGCTTTAATGATTGCACTGAAGCTCTTCTCCCTTTAGAACCAGTCAGAACACGACTTTGGATCGTTCCCGCAGAGTCTAATGAGCTCTGAATGACCATTCAGGTTTAATCAGCTGAAATAATAAGATTTTTATTTTTCCATTTTAGAAAAGCTCTCTTCACTGCTGAGCATAAAGTCAGTGTCTGTTTCTCTCTCAGTCAGTTTTATATCTGTTTTTTTATCTTCTTTTTTTAGGTTGATCAAAAATATATATGTAGTAATGAAAAAAATATATAAATTTTTCTAACTTTTGTGACAATATGGTCTGATAAAGAGCACATTTATATACATGTTTAAGCCAGAATGATTTGACATTTAAATATGATTCCCTATGACTTGAAGAATAGCTCTGCATTCGCTTAAATCTAGCTCTGTTCAGGAACACTTTCTATTAAATCCCAGATTTTAGCCCCTGCTGTCAACTCTGCTTTCCTTTGGTTAAGGTGCTGGGTTGTGATTCCCGTGGACACAAAGACATTGTAAGTGTAAATATGTGAACATGTCTGTAACGATCCTTCTGCTAAAAATAAACCCCCTGACAGGAGCCACAGTGAGACATTTCTTTTTTTACAGAACAGCTTGATGTGAGAAAATCTGGATCAGGTCTCCCAGGAAAAGCTTCTTCTAACTCCCATCATCGATGCTACAAAGCGTTCTGCACAACTCCTCCTGACAGCGTTAGAACCCTGTGGGTGTTACAATCTTAAACGATGTTGATGGGCGAGTGGATCTTAATGTACATTGTGTCTGTATCGTTAAATATATGTGATATTTGTAGCTTAAAATACAAATGTTTGAGGCCGTTGTTTATCAAACACAAATACGCTCATTTTTAGCTGTTTCTCTATGAAAACCTGAAAAGAAGAAACGTCCATCTGACACTGATTGCATGTAATACCATGTTATTAATGCAGATGCTTGTTTTATTCTGCTCTGCTTTCTTCTTATCTGCTTGTATTTCTTTGCTTTTGGTGCAGTGGAACCTTTTATGCATGGTTCTTGGGAACCTTTATTTGAAGTTTCATTGACTCGGCTCAGATAAAGTCTTCTATTTAAACACTACTAAGATCCTTGTTCATTAACTGGACAACAGGAACTCTGAACGATCCCCACGTCTGCAGGGGAAGAGGCTAAAAACAAGAAATATCTCCAACTTTCTCCTCCACCTGAAATCCTTTAAATGCACCAACGAGGAAGAAAGAACGCTGCTAAACGTAGTTTTCTCCCTGCAGTAATCACACTTGTAGTTTTTGCTGATTCGGACCTGCAGGCCCGTCAGGTTCTTCATCACCTTTATGCAGATCATTAACGTTTTATTTAATCTTTATTCATGCTTTACACACTGCTGATGTATTTAACCATCTGTTTCCACTCATTACTCGGTGTACATGCGCCACAGATACCTCCTTCGTTGTCCTTGCCGTCGGTGCAAAGGGTTTCCATGGCGACGTGGCATCCCGCACCTCTCCATCCAGCCTGGCAAATGCAGTGCCATCCGCTGGCTTCCAGGGTGCACCGTCCGTTGTTGTTGCAGAGACCTGGGCAGCCCTCTGGGCACAGGGGACAGACGGCAAGTTAGGAAATGCATGATCAGAGTGGGGAACAGCTCAGAAACATTTGGTGAAACTCGTTCTGGGACTCAGGACTCAGGCGGTTGATCTTTAGTTGTGCACTGGAGCGCTGAGAGCTGCATCAAAATACTGCATGAAAAGCATGCTGAGCATTAATCAGCAGATTCAGGGTCGTTTAAAAGAGCGTTATGACCAGGAAGAGTCAGCAGCTCCTCATGAAAACAAGAAGAGCTTTGGCTGGAGCTTTGAAAAAAGTTTTTTGTTTTTAATGACTAGCAAAAAGTAATTTAAAAGATTCATAAGAGTTTAAGAAAAAATAACAGAAGATCAAAGATCTGATTCTTCCAATAAATATCAGATCTTTATTTTTTTTTACCAGTTTTTAATTAGAATGAGGTATAAAATGCAGTTCTGAAGGAAATACCCTGCCCAATAAAATCAGTTCCCTTTACACCTTTCCACATTTGGTCATTTTACAACCTGAAATATTTCCTTATTCTATTGCAGTATAAAGTGACCAACATACAGTGATTTATCATTAAATGAACAAAAAGTTGCAAACATTCTCATGAATTGAATTCTGTTTTGTTCTGTATTTATATTCAGCCTCGGTGAGTTATTGTTTGTAGATGAAACATTCAGTGCATTTAGTCTCTCTATTCGCATGAAAGGATCATTCCTTTATACAAAATGCAAAGCAGCTCTAAGCATCAGCTTTAAGCTTTACACTGCACAAAATAAAAAATAAACTAAGTAGGTTTATTTTTCTTAAAATAAGATCATTTTTTCTTGAATTAAGCAGCTAAGCGATACACTTTGCCAATGAAATAAGGCAATTTACATTAAAAATAAGAAAAAAACAACTGCAGTCTCTTATTTAAAGTGCATAATATGTAATTATCTTATTTTATACTTATTTTAAGAGTAAAAATGCTCATTCCTTTGGCAGATTATCTTATTTACCTGCTCAAATTAAGGGTAAATACAATTAATTTAAGACATTTTTACTCATTTTTAGATAATTTTTGCAGTTTACCCACAGATTCTAGTTACTAGATTCTAGACTCTGACTGGGCTATCTGCAGCTGAATGTCCAGCACTGCAAAAACCATCTAGAAATAAGTAAAAGTGTCTTAAATTAAGTGTATTTACCCTTAATTTGAGTTGCTAACTAATATTATTTGCCAATGGAATCAGTATTTTTACTTTTAAAATATAATAATTAGATATTATGCACTTGTAATAAGACAATGCAATTGTTATTTTCTTACTTTAAATGTAAATTGTCTTGTTCCATAAGCAGCTTGTCTCACTTACCTCCTCAATTAAAAAAATATTGCACAATAAAAAGATGACTTATTTAGATTTCAGTATTTTGCAGTGAGTCTCTTTCAGCCTGCAGATGGATTTGTTATAACCTGACTCCGCCAGATGGATTTGCTCCGCATATCCATCTGGAAACCTTC